TATAAAACATGTAGGTGTAATATTTTACATAAACAATGTTTGAAAAAATCTACAGTGATGCCTACTTCAACACTGTTGTGAAATTAACTTTTGTAGGGCACCTACAGGATATTAGCTATGTCGATGACCAAAAGTATGGTTGACATTGTGATTTCATTTGGTTGACATTCGATGCATACTGTAATCATGCATTCCCTAAATATTTTCCAATATACTTGCTCAAATAGTCCTTAAAAAAGAAAGTGAAAGAGAGAAAAACCTACATTTGTTTAATAAGCTTGAGAAAACAATATATTATGCTCTTTAATGTAAAAATGAATATTAACATATAAAACCTCCAATAAGTATAAGAATCCACTTAATTTTTTTATCTTATTATTCCTCAAACATTTAAAAATTAAATATCTCTTTTTTATTTGTATCTTTAGGGATTTATTAAAACCCTACATTTTTTCTTCTAAAAAAATTGATAAATGTGCTAAAGGCAAGATGGTGGACACAAATATTCAGTAATAAAGAATTCTTATTACCATATTACTTCTATTTCTAAGTGTTTCATAAATGAAGCCCAAAGTCCTTATTCTATAATTCAAGATCCTTTAACACTACTTCTATTTTATGCAATCCCCATCCACCTTTCTGGGGTGGCAGTGCAGTGAAAGCCGCCGCCTTAGTTCTGCAGTTCAAATCCTAGCTCTGCCACTTATTTGCAATTGAACCCTAGGTAAATTTCTCAGTCTCTGCCTCAGTTTTCTTATTTTTAAAAGAGGAATAATTACAGTACTTATATTCTTGTGTAGGTTGTCCTAACTCTAACACAGATCTACTAAATCCAGTGGTCTGGAAAAACCACTTATATGTTGACTTCCCTTAGTGAGTCTCATGTACCAGAAATTAGAAACACTGATCTATACAGTCTAAAAGATACTTAGTTTATATAAAATAAGAAAACTGCTACTACTTTCAAGTATTAGTAGTTTTTTAAAAATAAAAATCCAACCGAGCATGTTTTAAAGATGATTTTGGCTCATTTAATGATTGAGGAGTTGTGCAACATCAGTTTAATAGATAGAAAAGAGCACCAAGGAACTGTACTTTTAAAACCAGAAAGAAGCAGTATTGAGGGAGTTATACTAGACCAAAAAAAATTTAAAAAGTAAAACAAACCAAAAGCTGGTTATTACAAGATCACTTTCTGTTAGGGGATTGCAGGGGTCTGTCAAGCAAGATTGCCTACCCAACTTAATCAGGTGATGGCCAATTGATTGCTTTAAAGTTCCACTGTTGGGTGAGTCAAAGACATAATTGAATTAAGTCTCAGTTTGGTGACATGGAACTTACCATAAGCCTCTCCATTTGGGGCCTGATATTCCATTTTTTTTAAAGATTTATTTTATTTTTATGCATACAAGAGCTGGGGTATAGGCTAGGTGGGGGGGGGGGGGTGAGAGGATTCACCAGAGACAGAGGGGAGAATAGAACAGGCAGACTGACTGAAATACACTGCTGAGGGGAGCAGCGGGCGAGTCAGGAGAGATCTGCTGCATCATATGGTTAGCTCCCTGGCCGGGGATCGAACTCATGCTGCAGTGGCTGTGGCTAGCTTCATATGTTGCATCTTAACTCCTTGCGCCACCAGGGAGTCCCCTGATATCTATCTATTTTAACATGAGTGGTAGTGTGCAAAATAAAAGATACCATTTTATTTATACCCCAAAACAGAACTAGAATCTTGGTCAAAGTGAGAAGAGGGAAATATTAGCTCAGTATAAAGGACTTTCAAACAGCAATGACTATGCAGAAATGTATAAACTTTGTGAAAATTAGATTTCTGCCCTTGGTGTCTGGGATAATTTATTAGAGACTTTTCTGGAAAATTTTTAAAGAACATCTTTAAAGAATATTTAAGCATCTCTTGAGTTTCTTACACCACATGAATATCTTTCAACCTTATGATTCTGGGGGCACATATTTAATAAATAGTGTTCATGTCCAAATGCATTTGGTTCTTGCTCAACTTTGCTCTGAATGCTTTATCCTAAGAAGATTTTTCACAAGTTTTAGTTTAGGGAGCATTCCTTGGAAGACAGTTTCAAACCTTCTCAGAGCAGGATATTAAATCATATGTGCTAGAAATATTCCAAAAGCATAAGCATATGTCTTAGCAAGGGAAAGAACTAGGATATTATGGAAGAAAATGCAGGAGCTTCCACTGAGGGTTCAGCAAGCATTTCTTAAGCAGAGTTTTGATAATTAATCCCTGAGTCCTGAAGGAACCATTATGCTCCTTCTCACATCTGCTACTATAAGTCACATAAAACACTTTGGCTACAGAAGCAGAACTTAAATCATATGTTAAGACTAAAAACATAGCTTAAAAAGGCATAAAATCCCAATTGTTTCCATGCTACTGTAGCAAGTATTAACAAAAATACCTACACACTTTTCCAATGTAGATTTGTGGAATGATGAAAATGCTGCTATCATTTATAGTTTCCTTTCAGAATGGACACTTGTTTGTAAATGAATGGTCCTGTAATAACCCAATGGCACCTTCATAAATCTCTCCAATGTATGGGACTCTGTAACACATCTGATGAGAAATGTGTTTACTCTTTCAGGATTAAAAATAGAAAAACACAATAGAACAAGTTCATTGGCAGGTTCAGGTGGCCACTTAGTTTATAATAGAATCAGGAAATGAAAGTGCCCCGTGGTGCTGTAAAAAATTCCACCATAACCCATTTTTAGCTAACACAAGCAAAACATGTGAGTGAGTTTCCTCAGTTGTCAGCATTAAAAAAAAAAAAATTAACTGTATACCTCCTTTCAATCAGTTAAATATTTATTCAAATCTTCAGCTTGTTATTTCTTCATTAACAAGGTTTCCCCTGCTGCTCAGCAGAATATGTGAAGAACTTTGCAAATGTCAGAAGCACTCAAGTTGAATCAACCAGGGGAAGTGATAAAAACACTCATAATCAAGTGGAACTACAATAGTGTCACATTTCAAGCTGGGAAATAATAGATCAATACACATGGCTTTCTCCCATGGGATAATACTGCTATTTGTTCTTATTTTGTGATTTGTTTTTACTCATCAAATCACAAGTACAATGCATTTCTGTGTTAACCTTCAATTTGTAAATGATCATTTGTATTCTAATCCTCAGAACACTGCAACAGAGAAAAGAGGGTGCAATTTTGAAAGAAAAGCTGAGTCCTGTGAACAATGGAGAGCAAAAAAATAAGCAAAGCATTTTAAGGAAAGAATTAGTGCATTAGGAGCTCCTGGTTAGCATGTGAATATCTCCTTCCAATAGGTAAGTCAAGCCTAATGGTGCAGAGTTTGTGAAAAATGGACAAATATCTCAAAGGCGCTCAAAAACAAAAACAAAAAATACTTAAAACTTCAGTTTCATCTGGCATTAGGAAAATCTAACATGTTTATTTGCCTGTTTGGAAAAAAAAGTTTATCTTCAAATTGCAGTCCTTGTGATTTAGTAAAGATATCAGTTTGTGGGATTTTTTCCCCTTCTACCAGTCTAATACAAAATCTTATCACACTAATTTTTTATACAATTCCAATAATAAAACTTACTTCCATCAATTTACCTTATAAACCAGTTTCTTTATGTCATTTCAGATCTATATTATAGTCTAACGGTTCTCAATTATTAGAAAAATAACCTGGCCCATGAATATAAACTATCGATGTAAACCACAGATAAATACGTGGACTATTATGTCTTCATAAAAGATAACAGAACTTTAAAATATGTTCCCAAAGTCACAAACAAAGAAGCGTCAATATACAGATAAATAAATGAACTACAATGATTTTACATTCATAGTACATGTCTTCTTAGGTTATAAAAATATTGTACATGTACTTTTCTATTTCCAGATATAAATAGACACGTCTACTAAAAAAGTGCCATTTTAAAAATAAGTATGTGAACCACCATGAAAAGGAACAAGTGGCTGGTCACCCAAGTGCTTTTCATTGCTAACTGATGAAAACTTCACAATCTTCCAGAAGAATCCCTAGGCAAGAAGGATGAAGCATGGAAAACCAAAAATACGTGATATCAGTGTTTTAGCAGGACTCTCACATCTTTATCGGCAGCAGGAAGAAAGACAGTCATCAACCAGGGGCAGGCAAAAAATCTTTTTTTTTTTTGCATCCATACATTTATTCTTATTTTATCCCTGGAAAGGGAACCCCAGTGCCTGTCCATTGATAGCACCTATAAGAGTTACCTGTGCCCATCCCAGCTTGCCTTGATTCCTCTGAAAGGTGTTACTACTATCCAAAAGGGCAAACTGTATAAAAGATTGACTTGAATGAGTAGAAATTTTTATTGTTTGCACCAGGGTGCCATCTGAAACAGTTCATACAATTGGATATATCAGTTCAATGTTCCCAGGCTAATGTAATTATTTATGAGATTAATGTATAGATTGGGAAGGAGGGCATTGATGAGGTAAGGGATGAGTTATTTAATGAAAAAGGAAAAAAGTGTTATTCAAGGAGCAAAGTTTGTTTACTCTGTATCATACAGACTATTTTGACATATAAGATAAATAAGATGTTAATAAAACTTCAGAATTAAACATTTGCAAAGTCATGTTAGGACAAAGTCTTTGTACTGTACTACTTTGGGGACTACAGGTAAAATCATAAAAGGCTTGGATTAATGCTATCCTTTCCTTTATATCAAAGTTGGCTCAAGATATCCCATAAGAACGATCATTAGACATGAATTTTTTGCCCAGCATTTCCTAAAAAAAAAAGCAAAGATGTTTTACCTTACCCCAATGTCCAAGACTATCTGCCTTCACACAATGTTACAAGTAAATTTGTAGAATAAGTGGGTTCTTTTGTAAAATGAGTCTTCCTTCAAGCTGGCTGAGAAATTTTTACTTCGTATGAAAATTCTACAGAGAGCCTAATAGCACAGAATAGAGTCTGGAAATCATTTGTAATAATCAGTCACAACATGGGTTTTATTTTATGCCTCCTTCTAAGTAAGTTTTTTTCTAAATATGTTTTTTGAGGACTGACAGCACATAAAAGGCAACTATTAAGGAGAACCATGGGGTGCCCATGATGGGAAGGGCTGATTATCCCTGACAGACTCCAACTTTGGAATTCATGGAAAGGCAAACAACAAATATTTTAGTGAGACAAGCATGCATGCAGATAAATTTTATGCCACATTGCCCTCCTCTTCTTTTTCTCTTCTTTCCTCTCCCCTTTCTTCCCAGTTTCTTCTAAACTGATACATCTGTTACAGGGTGTTTCTGGAAGCTTTATGTCATCTGAATCAACAAAATAGCAGACACATCGGCATCTTTTAAAAGATGAGCTTACTTCGTCTTACAGAACCCTTCTAATTAGAATGCACTATGTTTATGTATACACCCCTTTGTACTGCATTATGAAGTATTATTCTATTATAGGATACTCTGGGAAAAGCTCTGTGCTTTCCAAACATTGAATTTCAGGGAGGTCCTCAGTAAAATCCTAAAATGAATTTGAATCTTATCCTTCATTCAGGTTTCAGGCTGTGACCTTGCACCCAGATTCCATGAATAGAACATTGTCCTCACAAGGCAGAGGCTCAATAACTGGACATTTTCTGGGTCCCTGAATTTATACAATGAGATATCAACTCCAATCTGTGAGCACAATGCTCCAGTGACTGCCAGGAATGGCTCCAATATTGATGCCTTTCAGTGTAGATCACATCATTCACCCAGCAGAGCTCAATAAAGTGATACTGTAGTTAACAAGTTTTATAACACAAAGTTACTTTAAAACATGGAACTAATCAGAAGGAAGCCTGTTTATGCATGTCACCACGACATTTAATTGTCAATAAATAAACAAAGATTTGCTTCACCTATTGTCATGTATATCAAGTAAGTCATTAATCTAAACTAATGAAGCTTAAGATATATGACAGACAGTTTTTATGGAGCGCCTTCTTAATGATATGTTTGCTTTTCATTTCAATGCCAAGAGCCCATTATCAAGAAAGCAGCACATTATGGTCCAAACACATTGAAATCTATGGCACTACTCTTTGTTCAGAGTTCACAATAAGCAGCGCTTGCACTTACATATTCATGTACTCTCTGAGATGAAAAGCATTAGTTAGAAATGAATAAGGGGGGGGAACAATGCATCTCATGCTCTTGCTCTGTTGTGAGTTTCTCTCTTCAGATTTTTAAGCTCACCTGGAAAGAAAAAGAAATCTAAATCCAATCCAATTCATGCATACATCCATTTTGAAAAATGTGAGTGAGTGTGTATCATAAGCACAATGGTCCTAATCACTAAAGAACACCCTGAATCTCCAAAGAACACAAACCCAGAATGCCAAGCTGCAAACAAATAGCTACTGGATAATAAAAGCAAGCATTCTACAATTATTTCAATGTTCACATTAGTCCTAAAGCTTTGATGGTTTCCAAAAATGAAGCAATTATTTCTTATTCTTCTTTTAGTTTGGAAAAGAATAATATGGATAAATTAACATCTATCAAACCATAATACTTTCTATACCTGGTGACATGATAAGTTCAAAATAGTTCATCTTTTGAGTCAACACTGCCAAGAGGCTGCTGCAGGCTCTAAAGACCAAATGAAAGATTCAGTCATGTTGCACTTTGGTTTACTTAAATCTGGAAAAATATGTCGTAAATGGAACAAAATTTTTAGAGGACACAATATGTCCATGTACAGAGAAGGGCAAAGGAAGATGTTCTTAGGTATGGCCAAGAATCTTGACTGTTTTCTTTCTTGACCTATTTCCAGCATCTTCCATAGTCTCTGGCCTCTAGTGGTACTTGGTAAATATTTGTTAACTCTGTGAAATCAACCATGATATAAGGATCAAAATGAGTTTTTGAAAACTAACTTTTCAATTCTCTTGCCTCCATGGAGGAAGGCCGCCACTATGAATTGCTTTCTCTTCTGTGTTTCAGGGTCATGCAAGAAAGAACTTTATGAAGTCATAAGTCTATTACCAAAATGACACTGATAGAAAGAAAGAATGATCAGAAAGTTTTTCCCAGAAACAGTAAATTCATCAAAGGACTCCCATCAAAAGTCCCAGACCTAGAACTTTAAATGGAATTCTACTTACCCTACAAAAACTAGATGACCTCAATGCTTCTTAAATTATCCAAGAGAATAAATTTTCTAATCCCTCTCTATAAAACAAGTGTAATAAATATTCCTAAACATGAATAAGATTATAGACATATAAACAATCTCACATATAAATGTCAATGAAAAATTACTAAATAAAATATTAAAAAACAAAATCCAAAAGCATATTTAGAAAAATTTTAATATAGCTTAACTAAATAAATTTATTCCATAAATAAAAAAATTGTTTATGCTAAAAGATATTCAATGAAATTCAACACTCATGTTAAAGATCATTATAGGGCCTCCCTGGTGGCGCAGTGGGTTGAGCTCCGTGTTTTGAAGCTGTCCGCTGCCTCTGCAGCACCAGTTTGATTCCCAGTTGGCCAGGAAGAAACTCACATGGTGCGGCAGACCTCTCCTGCCTCACCCGCTGCTCCCCTCAGCAGTGTCTTCAGTCCGTCTTCCTGTTCTGCTCCCGGCTCTCTCTGGTGAATTCTCTCACCCTCCTGCACCTCTGACTTGTACCCCAGTTCTTATATGAATAAATAAATCTTAATAAATCAATAAAAATCATTATAGACCTTTTGTCAAGGACTAAGAGAGGGAGACACTGTCAAATTTGTTTTTTTAATTGATAAATAGGAAGTGACTTTAGAATGAGGATTTGCCTCTATACTTTCTTAACAAGTGTGCCTTCAGATGTGGCAGAAGTGACACAAATGCAGCAGACATGGTGTCTGCAGAGATGGTAGTGAGAAGAAGCAAGAGTGCGTGGTTTCCACTGGTTCCAAAACAGTGAAGTGGTATCCCCCTGTGGAAGCAGAGGCAATACCAGTGTCTGAGAGAGGCTATGGGTCTCCTCCATTGTAGGTTACCTGACTTTTTCCTAAACGTAGAGCAAAAATCACCAAGTGGGCCTCCCTGGTGGCTCAAAGTGTTAAGATACAACGTATGAAGCTGTCCACAACCACTGTAGCACAAATTCGATCCCTGGCCAGGCAGCTACCCACATGGCACAGTAGACCTCTCCTGAATCACCCTATGCTCCTCTCAGCAGTGTATTTCAGTCAATCCACCAGTTCTGTTCCCCACACTGTCTCTGGTGAATCCTCTCACCCCCTGCACCTATGGCCTGTACCCCAGTTCTTGTATGCATAAATAAATAAATCTTTAAAAAAAATCACCAAGACGATGATAGAGGAGGTTCCCATCTTCCCTACCAAGAATAACATCTAATACTTAACAAGTGGTACAGTGCACAAAGAAAGTCCCACAGTTGGAAATGAGACTTGATTACCCATTGGATATCAGAGACCTGGGCAGATTCACTATAAGTGACACTGAAAAGATACATGCTTAGCTGAACAGATAGGTGGAGAGGGGCATGGAGGTCATTGTTGGGCAGGGAACATGGATGGCAATACAGTTAGCTCAGACAGGCAGACTAGGGAAGGGGGAAAGGAAATGATTTACAAACATACACCCTTGAACAAGGGGAAAACCATAAGAGGGATATGGTGCTACACATCAATTGGATGTCCAGTAAAGTTAAGAGGAGTGTAGGCCTGCACTTCTTTTCCCCCAAACCCCTGGAATGAGTATTAATCTCTTGAAACGCACTGAGAGAGCATGGACTACCGAGACTCTGACCTCAGACCCCACAGAGGAGAGAATTGGTGGTGCCACGAACATGAGTCAACATCTTCCCAGCTCATTTACACCAACAATTGGATTCCTTCAGACCCTTTCTCCATCTTGCTAACACAGCAACAGTGTTGCTACTAAATATACACATCCAGGAAAATAGTTCTAACTACCTACAGATGTCTGCAAAACCAAGAAAATAAAATCAAACCAAAAACAAACATACAAACAAAAAAAGCAAGACCACAGTGCCACCTGAAGGAACAGAAAATTAGTTCTCTGTAGGTATGCAGGAGGGTGTGTGCACATAGGAGGGTATGTGCACACAGCTGCTTCACATGCCTCCGGGGCATCTGTGGAGGACAGAATAGTCAGAGCCACATGAAACTGTGAGAACAGGTAATGTGAAAGAGCCTTGCTTCCTTTTAGGAGACAGTACACAATGGATCTGCTACTTGTGACTTACATGGCAGCAAAGGAATGTTCTAAATATGTTTTTATACTAACACCAGGTTCTGCAGTGAGAGAGAATTGCTGCATGTCTGACCAGGTCCTTGGAATCTCCCTGCTACTTAAAATTTTCTGGGTCCCCTTTTTATAATGAGAGATTCATAGCTTTCAAAATGGAGTCCCAACATATTCCAAGCAATGGGAATATAAACATCACATGGAAACTCTCTTCCCACTGGCACTCCTACAATTTTTAATAAACTACAAATGTTTTCTGTATAAGGAAAAAAAAGAAAAATTAGTTCAACCCTACATGTTACTGTTACAGATCTTTTTTAAAAGGGGGAGGAATCACATGAAGTAGTAAAATTGGTAGACAAAAAAATATCACACATAGCAACTTGAACCCTCAAGGGAGTATAAAAATCTTAAGGCAAAAACAGCTCTCCAGATTCCAACCACAAAGGCATGGGAGATTATATTTTCCTATCAGATAGAAAACTCAGAAATGCTATAATAAATAAATACAAGAAAACCGACAAAAACTTAGAACAGTATGTCAAAGTTATACAAGACAACTTAGAAAGAGATAAAATATCTAAGAGATACAACAAAATTTATAAATAGAATTGAATTCAGAAATAAAATCAATAAATGAAGGTAGAAATTGAAGCTTTGAATAAGAGAGTAGCAGAAATTCAGCATCTAAAGAGCTCAAGAAATGAGATGACGAAGTCAAAAGAAAGCTATAAAAAAAGAGACCAAATGTAAGAATGAATAGGAACGTCAAAGACATAGTACACAAAGGACACAAGGACAAGAAAAGAGAGAAATGAGATATGGGGGAGAAATGAAGAAGCACTTCAAATCAAGTACACTCAATTAGGTAAACCAACATGAAGGTAATGGGTATCCCAGAAGAGATGAATAAGGGACTGGAGAGTTTATTTGAAGAATTAATAAAGGAAAATTTCCAACAACCTGGCAAGCTACTAAATGTACACATACAAGAAGCTAAATGAAAACCTGGTTATTTAAATGCATGAGACATACACCTAGACATATAGTAGTGAAACTACCAAGAGTTCAAGGCAAAGAATATTGAAGATGATTACTGTAAAGTAATAATAATTAAAGCAGCATCGTACTAGCACAAAAAGCAGACAAATAGACCAATGGAATAGAATTGAGAGCCCAGAAATAAATCTACATCTATATGAACAGTTAATATACAACAAAGGAGACAAGAATATACACTGGAAGAACTGTATGTTCTTCAATAAATGGTGTTGGAAATATTGGACAGTTATATGCAAAAGAATGAAATTAGAATACTATGTCACACCACCCACAAAAATCAGTTCAAAATGGATTTAAGACTTAGCAAAATAACCAAACAGGACTACATTATAGAAGGGGGTCCAGGTCTACATCACCTGGAATACTTGTAAGCCTTATTTCTACTTTGCGGTGGTATGGGAGTGGAAGGGATATAAGCCACAGTATTTTTTTTCCTTTTCTCATCATTTATCCTACTATCAAATTTAGAAAGTATGGTTCCCAGAAAACATACTTTTGTTAGGAAGCCTTGAATTGAACTTCATAAAATTAAAGCACATATAGATAAAAATTTAGCATTTTTAAAGTGAAGACATCAGTGCATAATTCAAAAAGTAATTTTGAATGAATTGTTTCTGCTACACACCAGAAAACCCATATATAAGATAAATGCAGAGAGGTGAAAATTGTGGTTTTTTAAAAAAGAAAATCATATTAGTTTTATAAAAGACAAGCCTTAGAAGTATTTCTGAAACAGAGAGAACAAAAATGTAGGGAGATAAGATAAAATGAAATAACAGATGTTGAGGAAAATAACTAATACCAAGGAAAATAAGTGATAAACAGAAATGAAAGTGAAATAAATCCACAAGATACAGATCAAAAGTGTCACTGTGTTCTAGAAAAAAAAACAATGGAAAGAAACAAA